CCCAGAAGATGAAGGCCGAACTCCAAGTCCGGTGCTCTTTGAAAGAGAACAACGTTTCGCCATAAGGCAGCCGCTAGTGGTAGACCGGGTGCAAATCAAGCGCTGTGGGAAACAGTATCAAGACGTACTAAGCGCCCTCCCACGCCTCAAGGAGCAACCGTGCCCGGAAGAGCCGCGGCAGTAGTGCAGCGGATCCTGCTCCAGTTGCTGCGCCTCCAAAAAGCAAGCGTGCTTCCAAGAGTCGCAGCAGTTGCAGATCCAGCTTCAGCGGTAGTGCCTCCCAAAAAGAAGGAGAGAATAAGCCAAGCACTACCTCAAAACAAGATGCGGTGACATCATCAAAGCTGGGAAAGAAAACCACGAAGACGAGGTTGAAGAGGAAGAGTCTGAAGGGCTCAGCCAAGCGTAGTCTTAAGCCAAAAAACGAGGAGCCTACAAAACAGAAGACTCCTCAACCTCTGGCCCCTCCAAAGCGCCGAAAAAGGTCGCAGTCTGAAAAGTCGGAAAACCCAAAGGAATCCCTTCAGGCAATCCGCGGGCATATCTTTCCCCTATTCCCAAAGTTAAGGCCTCAACCAGTAAAGAAGAGGCAGAGATTCCTACGAAAAGAAAGAGTCAAGGCCAGTCGAAAGGCCACTGTGGTAGAAGATCTACCAGTAGCAAAGAGTGAACCGGATTATGATCCGACCGAGGAAGTTCAAAGTTCACAACCTGCAGGAGTAAGTGGAGCTGTTGCCGCTCCAGCAACTCCAGACTCTTCAGAAGAAAGTAGTTCTGAGGCAGAACAGCAGGAACCTGAACCTCAAGATGTGGGTGTTCAGCTGGATAGTCTGAGGGCTTCAATGCAAGCCCAAGCGAAGCCTCCAGTTGTATCCCCTCCATTCGGGAAGAAGTTAAGAAGAGTAGTTCTAAACCCCTTGACTTTCCAGTAACAGTAAGTAGGGGTCAAACTCGGGAGAACATTATTGCGTTCTTGACGATGACGTCAACGTGTCAGAGGCTGCTGATTTATCAAGATCAGCACAACTCCGGCCGTCTTCCAGGGAACATGGTGATTGTTCACGGAGAACGTTGCACCATTGAGCTGAAGATTTTGATGCATCGGCCAGGGCACAGCATACGTATCTAACAAAATGATTTGGAGGTACTTGATGGTACACATCTCAAGAACTTGGACCAAGATATAGTCCTAAGGGTTCTTGAAGAACCCCTTCCGACAAGTCCTAGCTCTGCTATGGTGAGATACACGATTAACCAAAGTGTAACTGGAAATATGATGGCCCAGGACCGCAATATCCGGTGCTCTAGTCCAAATGATGGACCTCTTCTGCTTCCATTCGTTGTCTCTGAGGAGAAGCATGGTGCTATTCTCTGAAATTTGAATGGAGATCCGCTAGTAATCTTGGGCTCTCGTGGAGCTACGATCGGGCAAGTTCGTGATCTTCTCCGTTTAGATCCGAACGCTGCCATAGTTGGAGTTTGTGGTTGTGGTCGTCATTACAAGACTGTCTGGGAAGCCGGGAAGGAGCTTTCGTCCCATATGGATCTACCCTGCTTCAGTGGTCCAACCTTCAAAGGTAAAATCCTTGCCACTTTGTTCCACAATTCGGGCAGAACTGGTGTATATAGGTAAAAGCATTTTTACGCGCGTTCTGTACAATGCAAAACGGGGGGAGTGCTGGTGTATAGAAAACAGTACTATTCCCTCCGCAGCCATTTCAGCTACAAGCCTGCATGCATGCATTTGCAAACATTTAAGCATTTGAACAGTACTTCGTGTACAGTCTCAATTATCATACCGTTTACCCTCGTTTTCTTGTGGTCCCTTGTTAAAAAGGATTCTGTAGCTGTTGCCTTGCTGCCTGCCACCAGCAATTTCCATCATTTCTCATCATGAATCACGTCACATTGCCAGATCCGAAGCCGCGGAAGAACGCACATGTTGTAATCTTTGTCAAGGTTTTGGTCTGCGCACCCCCCAACTCCCCGGCTGTTATTTTACAGAGCACATTCACGGAGGCATCTGTCATCACGTTGGTTTTTTGGCCGTGATGCTTCATCAACTTCCTTTTCATGTATCCATCATGTTCATTACTTACTTCCCCTTTTTTTCGTCATCTGATTCGTTCTTCATCAGTTGCATTAAATTAGTGTTCATCTTACCATCCGTGTTCATCTTTCTAATCTTTTTCATGATCTTCATATTCGTTCATTCTGCTTCATTATCTTCATGATTGCTCATCATTTTTCATCTCGTTGATGGTTGTCATTCTGCTTTATGATTTTCAGCATTTTCATGATTGTTCAGCACTTTCATGAGCTTTCACCATTTTCATAATGTTTCAACCCTTTCGTGTTGTTCATCGTTTTTGTGCTTCTTGATCCTTACCTTTCTTTGATCCTCCGAATCGTGCCAGTTGCAATATTCAGGCATTGAAATCTTCAAGTTTAATCTTTGCTTGATCCTTGATTTTGATTTTCTTTGGAATTTTGATGTGTTGATCCTTCTTCTTTTGTTGTTGATCCCTCACTCTGTGTAGCATTGTGTGCGTGTGACTTGCGAATTGTGTCATCTTTTGTCGACTGAATGCAAGGCCGGCGTCCTGAGCCGACGAGAAGCAGCGCGGCAGGTCCGTTCCGGGCAGGTGAAAGTGAACAAGGCCCAATTGAAGATTCGTGGTTAAGGTGGTTGTGGAGAGTGGCGGCAAAGCGAGGAAACCGTTCGAGACCCTCTCTCTTGCGTCCTGGACTCCGACCTGGTGGAAGTAGACGGCTGCAAAGTGGTCCTCCCGGACTGGTCCTCCAGACTTCCCCGAAGCGTGGTCTGAACACGGGGATTCAACATTCGTCTGATTTTCAAGGTTTCATAAACAAGATTTGTTGAGTCTCATGTGGGCAAAGGTCATTGTTCATGATTAGCAGTGAAGGAAGATCATACAAATAGGCCTTGATGCTATTGTGAGGTCCCGCTGTGTTTTTTGCTATGAGGCTGCATGCAGGGAAAAACGCACTTTGCGCAAGGAGGCGGTAGATCCGCGGTAATGTGTTGGGTGCAGCATACGATGACACATGCCAGACTTGAAAGCCATGAGAAGCATCTGTTTCATCACATAAAGAGGTGACAACGCTTGGAAGACTTGTTGTCTTAACAGAAGTTCCATGGAATGTTTCAGGCAAGCACGGCAGGTGATGAATCTGAAGAGCCGACAGCCCCGTAGGTGGAGGCGTGGAGGCCCCTATAGGGATCCACGGGAGAAACTCCTGCTAAGCAAATGCGAAGCAAAGGAGTCCGCAGTATTGAAGAACCCGAACTCATTGGAAGCTTTGAGCCGTTCCCCCTTCCAGCTCGGCAAGTTTCTTGTGTAGATGGCATGCTGACGCATCAGAGCTCAATTAGCAATTGCGCTGAGACTGAGCAACAGTCCCAAGAAGCACCACGCTAGAGACAGTCGTCTTTGTGAATGCATACACGCATCCTCCTCCATGCATTCATTCTTCAGTTTGTTCGACCCTATGAGGCCACACACAGGGGAAGCCAAATTGGAGTCAGTTCCAGGAACAAGAATACTGTAACTGTTGACAACAGCCCATATGATGTCCTTACTTTGAGGCCTGGTGCTCTTCAACAAGCCACGAAACACGGTAAGCTCCTTGAGAAAAAGCTCGCAGACGCGTGCAACCGATCGGCACCTGCAAGCGCTGCAGGAGCGAAGCGGTGCAAATTCTAGCATGCAATTAAAAGCATGATTCAGCATGATGCTGAATCATACCCGAAAGGATGTGCTCCCAGAGCCATACCGATCGCTCCTTGCACCTCACGTCCCCGCACTTCGGCCAGTTGGCTGCTTGGCAGCAGCTTGGCGGCTTGGCTTGGACCGGAGAGCAACTGGGGCGGGCGGTGCTTTAGTCAAGGCCGCTTGGACGCTGCTTCCATGGGCCTGCTGCTCTTCACTGATTCCTCGGATCTAGGGAACAGACTGACGGGTCCCTCCAGCTGCGAGAAGGACATGCCGTGAGGCACATCACTGTGCACATCTTGACCGGGAGGAGTACTTGGTGAGCGTTTCACCACCTCCTAGCACACGAAGCCTGCAGCAGCTGCGTGAAGGCGGGGCCCATCTTTTGTTTTCATCAAATGCTCAGGAGCTCCAAGCTCGCAAGCTCGTGCAAGCTCTTCAGGTGTTTATGTCAGGGATGGCAACGCGAAGCGAGGAAAGACGCTGCCCTGCTTTGTCACGTTGCTGCCAGCAACTCAGCAACTCAGCCTCTTCCGTCGCGCAAGCTTGGATTCCCAGCTGCAGAAGAAGTTTGTCCAAAGAAGGCGTTCTGAGCCAACTGCTGCTCGAGCCATCCTGCGCTTCGTGATCAGCGAAGGCTATCATCAACCATCCTTTCTGAAGTCTCAAGCATTGAGAAGTTCAGGACTTAAAACACGGTAGTTGCTTGGTGTAGCCATTCTAGCGTAACCGTAGCGGCGTAGCGTGGATGCCTAGGCTCTTATGGAAAGGCGGCTACTTTTTTTTACGTGCATGCACATAAAAAAGTAGCAGCACAAAGTTTCGCTTCGGAGAGGTCGGAACCGGCAGATCCGGCGGATGTGCGACGCCAAAGGCCTCACCGTCAACTGGCTCCTCAGCACTTCGGTCGCGGGATGAATCCCATCTCTAATACCGATCAATAAATGCTCAAGACTCAAGAACTCAAGAATTCAGTTTACCTACGTCTAACCTAAGCAATCTGGCAAGGGGCATGCCCTTCTGGCTGGAGTTGTGACTAGGATGATGTGGGATGGTGGGATGGGCGTGGAAACCAAGGAACCCGGATTGGACCTTTGCTCCTCGGCAGCTTGTCCATCGGCGAAGCTAGAGATGCAACGAGAGACGAGCTGATGTCTCTCGGGCAGACTCTGAGAGCCTAGCAAGGACAAAAGCGGCCTCCAATCCTGCGCGGCTTCTTCGTGAGATCTTTAATGCTGTCTCCTCAATCAGACAATTTGAAAGGTGTACGTCCCAGAGCTCGTGTTTGGCCACCTGCTCACAAGCGACAACTACGATGACTCCTCCTGCAAGGCTGTGCGCGGGCAAGTGCCTTGTCCTTACTTCAGTGGTCCCTGGCAGGTAGTCGGAGGCCGGAATGGCTACGGGGCCAAACTCGCGAACGTTTTCTCCACAGAGTTCAAAGTCGAGACTTGTGATGGCAAGAACAGGCCGGGAGCAAGACCTAAGTACCCTTCCTTCCGTACACCTTGTCCGGCCTCCAGTTTGCTTTGAGCAAAGCTAATGGACAGGTTCACTCAAATCTTCAAGAAGAACATGCAGGTGACTTCTGATTGGCACTAGTGCAGCCTGCTGACTACAGCTAGACTGAAGGTGAAGGGCAAGCCCGAGATCACAGCAGCAAAGGCTGCCTTTTTTTCCTGAAGAATTGAGGTCTTAAAGTTTCATGTAGGAGAAGTCCTTCACCTGCATCACCTTCAAGCCTGATTTGGCAAAATTTGGCATGACGAGCCTGGACGACTCTGTGTTGCAGCAGCTCAAGCAACGATTTCCAAAGCGCCGTGCTTACAAACTTACGAAAACCTGAGGATGACATTGTGTCTTTGCTGACAAAGCGAGTATACGATGTGGCCGGCTCCACAACTGCCCGGCACTTAAGTCATGTGACAACTCTTTCCTCAATGGCCCTTTTTGGAGAGGACAGATGCAGCGTATTTCTGAATGGCGATAAGTTGGACGTCAAGAACTTCCGAGATTATTGCGACTTGTATTTGCACTCTCACCCTGTTTGCTGCGGTCTTGTAAGTTGCTGAGTTACGCGGCTGTTTTTTTCTGCCAGATCGCCAGGCTCACACGCCAGGGAGTGCCTCAGATCTACGAGAAGTGCTCTGACAGGCCTAACCGGGGTAACTACAGTCTCCGACTGTAGTGGGCAAAAAGCACTGTAAGAGTGGTTCAGAGAACTGGAACAGAACTGGTTAACGAACTGGTGATGTTGCAAAGGGCCTCACGTGACTGAGGTGGGAGATTTGTGTGAGCCTCACAGAGAGCGGGTTTAGCCAGGCGCGAGCTGTGTTGGCATGACACTTCGTGTGGATGTTCACGTGAGGGCCACAAGCCATTTACGAGCTTGTTTAAAGAACAAGTATGTTTGCGTGCTTTTCTTTGATGGCGAGTTTAAAGAACAAGTATGTTTGCGTGCTTTTCTTTGATGGCGAGCTTGAGGTGAGCTTCGTGAACTCGATTTGCACCATCCGCGGTGGGACGCACGTGACCCACGTCTCTGATCAGATTGTGGAGGAAGGGAAGGGCGTGAGATCACGTGAGCGTCAAGCGTAATTTTCTGGGTGACAGGCTATCCTGGAGCGAGTGAAGGCGCAGAGCAAAGAAAAGGTGAAAGGAGGGGTCGATGTGAGGCCACACCACGTGAAGCCCGGGCCCCGCTGTCATAGGCCCCGCTGCCCGCGCTCTGCAACTGCATTAGCGTCAAAGCAGGAACCACCTCTGGGTCTTCATCAAGTGCTTGGTGGAAAACCCTGCATTCGACTCGCAGACAAAGGTACCTCGCTTGTCGGGTTGCCCTCGGTCAATGCTGCTCCAGCTGCTTTGCTTTGCTTTGTGCAGGAGACCCTCATGACTAAGCAGTCCAAATTCGGGTCGCGCTGTGAACTCTCAGAGAAGTTCCTGACAGAGGAGGGGCGCACGGCGAAGGGCGCAGGGGAGAGCAAATGAATCGATGCAAACTCGTAAGCTTCGCAAGGTGGCCAGCAGTGGCGTCGTAGACCTCATCCTCATGGCTGCCATGGCGAAGTCCAAAGTGGACCTTGGGAAGAAGCTCAAGGTGCGGAGGGCTCTGAGCTTCAGAGAGAAGAGTCAAGTTTTGAGAATTTCTGAGGCCAATACCAGCCGGGTGGCTCGCCTCACAGGCGGAGCCGGCGGAGCCGGGACGGGCTAAGGAAAAAGAAGAAAATCGAGCTTCTGAGAGCTAAGACATAGAGAAATATTATGGAAGTAAGAGAGTCACACAGCTTTCTTTTTGCCTTCTGCCTCTCCTCTCCATTCTCTCTCTCTCCGCTCCTCTCCTGCTTGCCTCTCGCTTCTCGTCTCGTCTTGCAGGTGTCCCTAAGCTCGAGGATGCCAACGACGCAGGCTGCCATCACGGCTGAACCTCGTCTTCCTGGGGCTCAGAACCATCGGGGCGGGCCCCTTTGAAGTGCTTCAGAGTACCCAGCTGCGAAACTGCAATTTGTCAAATCACGATGTTGAACTGCAGGAGGGGGAATGCTTTGCAAAGACAAATCTATGCACATTCGGTTTTGTTCAGGAGGCAAGCTTTCCCACGAATGCACGCTGATCTTGACAGAGGGAGACTCGGCAAAGGCCAGCGATAGTCATTCGAGGGAGTAGAACCGTGGGTTTCACGCAGCGTGCTTTCTCAGGCACTGGCAGTGGCAGGGCTCAGCGTCATTGGCCGTGATAAGTGGGGCGTGTTCCCTCTCCGGGGCAAGGAGCGAAGACTGCCAGAGATCAGTTAACCCAAAATCGGTGGGCCGGCAGGTTCTGAATGTGCGCGACGCCACGCTTAAGCAGATGATGGCCAATGAGGTGCGCTAAGACTTCTTGCTCGTAGGCTTGGTGGCTTGTCCATGCTTGGCCTGGGTTTACAGGAGATCCAGAACCTGATCAAGATAATTGGCCTTGACTTGAACCGAGAGCAGCTTGTTTCAGGATTTTAGTTCAGAGCTTAATGCCACACGCGAAACTCGTTGGGTCAGGTACGACGCTGAGCTGAAAGGCCTTCGATATGGCTCCATCATGATCATGGCTGATCAGGCTAAGCACTGGCAGCTTCGCATCGTGGCTTTGCGGCTTTAAGTCGTGGCCTGTCATCAGGACAGCGACGGCTCTCACATCAAGGGGCTTTTGCCTAGCTGTCACGCTTGTGACAATGCACCATGCTGACCATGTTACACACCCCGTCGGTACGAATGTTTCAGGATCAACCTGATCCATGCCTGGTGGCCCTCTCTGGCGCGGCTGCCAGGCTTCCTGAAGGAGACATGGTGATGGCGGTGACGCTCGGGGGATAGACTTCTTCCGTCGGTGGCCGATGGCCGCTGCACGGTGGCCGGTGGCCGATGCACGGTGGCCAGTGGCCGATGGTCTGCTCGGCGGAGTTTCGGTTGGGCGATACGTCTGCCACAGCTATGATACTATACGATTACTACGACTAGTATACTATGACTCCTACGACAACGACGACTACTACTAACGTTATTATGGTTTGTGCATGCATTGAACGTTATCATGGTTGGGGCATGGATTCTCTGGTCCTCGGATGCAGTCGAACGTGAACGTAGTATGGTTTGGGCATGAAGGCTCTGGTCATCGGGTGCAGTCGAAAAATGAACGTTATTATGTTTTGGCCTCCGGTGATTGGATGCAGTCGAACAATGTTAGTATGGTTTGGGTGCTCGGGAATACGCGAGGGGCTACGACGACGACGACGACGACAATCGCAGTGTCCGGTGGCGGGGCGCGGTGCTTCTGCCCGTTGCGCCGGTGGCTGGTGGATGATGGCCGGCTGGTGAACAGCAGAAAAAGTCTACAGAGGACGCTTGCGGTGATGTTGCGCAGAGAAGTGCGCCGAAGTGTGTACGAGAATTGAACGGAAAGCGAACGGAAAATAGTCTTTGAATGTTTTGATGTTTTGAGGAGTTTTTCACGCCCATCGTCAAGGCAAGGAAGGGCCGCCGGAGAGCTCGGAGATGCAGAGAGACAAGTGAAAGAAGTGTTGATATTGCTTCTTTATTTGATGTGAAGCTTAAAAAGAGTGCAATAGCAAGCAGTTTGTGCAAGCACTTTCTCAGCTCTCTTTTGGCAGAGCAGCTGGCTGTAAGGCTCGGAGACTTGCTTCTACACGCTTCCGGAATACGAGGCCGGCTGAAGAAAAGCAACACACGCCCATCCCATCCCCTCTCCTTGCCTTTGCCAAATCAACCCCTCAACGGTCCACTCCCTTCCCCCGCAGCTCCCCCACCCCGCCCCCTGACATCAAGCGTGTACAGCAGCACCATATTTGAAATTTTAGAAGTTATCGCGAAAGAGTTCGCTAAGTGTTTGTGGCTAGTGCGAACAACATCCCTTTTAGTGTGGCATAGCATGACCATTTGGCACGCAGAGAGCCTTTTCCTGACAGATTTGTTTTGGCTCGTGTCACACATGCAGTGAGTATACCACAGCGTGGGTCCGTGATGTCTGTGTCTTTGTTGGCAAGATGGACCGTCTGAAACATCGTAAGAGCCCATATACGCCGTAGAAATGATGAAATGTGATGAAACATGATGAAATACGGGTGTTTTCTGTGATGATTGTAATTACAATCAAAATTTGTCCGGGGTAGAACTAATACTTTCACACACAGCAGAAGTGCCGCCGGTATAATTCTTATTGCTCTTATCATTGCAAACGACTGTGCTTAGGGCAGTGTAGACTCCTTTTGTAGATTGTACATGGCTTAGTGGAATCTCTTCAAGTGACTGAAGTTTCTTATTTAGACTATAGGGGAGAGAGAGAGAGAGAGTGGACACGGGCTGGGCATTGACGCCCGGGGGGGGGGGAAATCTTTCCCTTCCCCATAGCCTGAACGAAAGAAAGAAAGAAAGAGAGTGGTTGCAAACGACTGTGAATACAATCGCCTCCTGAGCCGATATTCCACATCGGTTTCGCGGGAAGGTCCGCGACAGGCGGACATAGGCCAGGAAGGGAGTTGGCCATTCGGGCGGCCATGAAGAGCCTGGCCTCTCACTCCAAAGAGTGGGTAGCTGCGGTAGCTGCGGCTGCAGGCTTTCCTGTGCAGAAGCGGCCTTCTCGCAACTCAACTTTGCCCAATAGCGTTGCCTCTCTTAACCCTGCATGGTCTGCACTCCCTGGGCGCAAACCCCTACGAGAGAGAGAGAGAGCACACTGCATCGTGAAGCGCTACGAGGATGCCGCGATGTGCCCCGGCCGAATGTGGAATGAATGGGAGTGCAGCGCGAGGAAGCAGCACATCGAAACCAAACATCAAGGACTTCTCTGGGGCATCAGGTGTGTAAGTAGGGTTTGGGTAACGCGAAAGTGGCGGTGAAAGTGTGTTTTTAGGAGATGGATTTTCCGCTTCAAGTGTACACAGCGCTGGCTGCTGGCGGATTGATGCCCAGTGCTCGTGTGTCCACACCGACCGCGTGGGAACGTGTGACAGATCCGCTGCCAGTTGTCATCATGCTGTGAGCCCACACTAGGTAGGCCAGCCCCAAAAGGTTTGTCTGACGTAGGTCTCACAAGGGACACTTTCGAACTTCGAACGCTGTGCGAACTCAAGCATCGAGTTTCTCTCGTCTCTCCTGGACTTCTCGCTTTCTCCTCTCGCTCTCACTCTCTCCCTCTTTGTCTCTCTCTGTCTCTCCCTTTCCCTCTCTCCCTTGCAGTCCCTGCGTACATGCTGCAGGCTTGGAAAAAAGAGACTGACAACGGGCATGGCTTCAAGATCAAATACTACAAAGGACCCAGATGCCGCGCAAACACTTCGCTTCAACGGGTTCTGCGGCCGCACCGTAGGACTCGGCACGAGCACGCCAAAGGAGGCGAAGGTGGTGCTACCAGAGTTTCCGACAGTTTCTCGCAGTCTGTCTGTGGGAATGTAGAGTACAAAACAAATCGTTCAGGAGTACTTCAGCGCCCTGGAGTCGCACAAGATACAATACCGGTACGTGTCAGCCCCATCGCATTTGTCTGATTCGTTTCGTTTTGACATACACAGAGGACGGAATTGAGGATGACCGAGCCATTGATCTGGCTTTCAATAAGATGCTTGGCTCAAAATCTGCTGAAGCTTCCTATTCAGCAACGGCCGAACACAGGAGGCGGGCAGACGACCGAAAGTCCTGGATCAATGCCTACGAGGACCACTCCTTGCAGTGTGCCGTGGCGCTGCGTTGCAGTCTGTTGCAGTCGTCTGCTGTCGGCTCTGAGTCTCTTTCTGCTCAGCTGTGCAGGAAGGCCGCCTCATTGACCACACGCAGAAAGCCGTCAGAGCCTTTCAAAAAAGCTCCGTAGCTGCCGACAAGAGAATCTAGTTTGAGAAGTTTCTGGCCAGTGCTATAGAAATGTCACATTTTCTCTGCGTGTGTAGATCAAGGGGAAACGACAAGAACAAATAAAACGATAACATTGTGATTTCATGTTGTGTGATGGGAAACGATGAAGGTAACAAAGCTTGATGGCGTCCGAAATAGGATGGACGGCTGGGCTCCAGGTTGTTGGTGCCGTTCATATGACAATGCATGACTCTGCTCCATTGCTGTTTGTCCCCACATTCCTGTAGGGTTCTAGTTGTTTAGATGCACTGGCGCCCGCCATGTCATGGGTACTCTTCCGTCGCGCAAACATTTGAGACGCGCCCTTGTTCGCTTCAAAATTGCGCTCTCGCTCGAAACATCCTCAATAAAAATCAACGTTCTATGTTGATTTTTGATCAGAAAATAGGAGACTTCGCCTTTAAAGTAGTCTTGCTAGAGGGGGTCGTCTCCAAACTGGTCGCGCCCTTGTTTGAACAAAATTGCGCTCCCGTGCGAGACATCCTCAAATTTTTGGGTTCTGCTCACTTTTTGAAAATTCAAAAATTGCGTGCCCGCGGGAGACAATTCGACTTGTTTGACGTCTTGATCGTCTTTATAATTATCTTCCAAAATCGGCTCCCGTGCGGAGCATCCTCGAAATTTTGTGGGTTTATCTTCATCGAAATGATCAAAATGACGCTCCCGTGCGGAGCATTCGGAAAATTTGGATCATTTATGAACGATGATGTCGAGGAGTTCTATATCAATTCTATATCAAATCAGTCCCGGTGTACTTTGTTCGAGGTGGTTTTCTGGGCTCAAGAGAACTTCCGCATTTGGCGGAGATTTCCGACATAGCATTCGTATAGGATTCGTCGGCATCGTCGTTCGAAATCTTAGCGGCTACTGGATGGATCCTATATCAATTATATATCAGACTGCTCCGTTCAACTCCCGAAGTGGAACGCCTTGTGTCAGGATCACCGGCCCAATCGCTGTCCAC